AAAAGAAAAAAAGTCCTCTTTTTTTTTTTTTTGAGAACAAGGCCGCTATTGTTCTCTATATAAGGGATCAATGATGTACATAATGCTCACCCTTTTAATTCTCACTCTTTTAAGTCAGCCCTTTGATTATGAAAAAGGGATCTCCAAGAGAAAGATAAGTATCACATAAAGAAAGTCATAACCTTTTAGAAAGAGACAATTCTCATAAGGGGACTTGGGTTGGTTCAATATTCATTTTTAGATAAAATATCTTTATTGCTCTCAATGATCTATTTTCGATAACTATGTAGTATTGTGAAAGATAGTGCTTGATCAATGATGTTATTCGGTTTGGAGAGAGGGTTTAGAAGGGAGATTTGGTGAGCAGTGTACGAATATTTAGATAATTCTTTGTAACTAAAAAATGTAACAGATTTTGACTTGTCGAAACCTTGGGTTCAACCATTTGAACCAAGTAAATCTTGGTGTTATTGTAGTATAATTTTACTTTATTTATTCCTCATACTCAATTTGTAGCTATATTCTCATATTTCCTATTTAATCAATTATGGACATGATCTTGGGTAGGATCTTGGTGCTGGGATTCCTAATTTTGCAAGTGAGATGTTTTTAAAGACGGTATATTTTAAACTCCATGCCAGTTTTAAATCGTCCACCCATGATCCTTGGTTGAATCGAAGATCCATCAAGAGTCCCATTACATACTTTCCACATTGAAAAGAAAATGTGAGATTCACTTTAAAGCCATTATGTGCATATTTTTAAAAGAACACGGTAAATTTTTTGTTTTACACTATGTTTCTAACAATCTGAAAATTGGATGGTCGATAAGCATGGGGACCTAATCTTTTATGGCGTATGAGTTTACACCAAGGAGTCGTTTGGATACCTGGAAATATATTATCTTTGAAATATATTACTGGCGTAATACATTACTGAGTAATACATTACATGCAAATAGATTGTTAGGTAGTATTTAAATGCAATTTGGAAAATACATTACTCTTACTTGAATGCAAATGGATTGTTAGGTAGTATTTAAATGCAATCTGGAAAATACTTTACTCTTACTTGAACGGTTTAATATGGATTGTTAGGTAGTATTTAGATGCAATATGGGAAACACATTACTCTTACTTGACACGGTTTAATATGGAATTATCTACATTGCGTCTTAAATTTGCTCTCACATTGCTCTTACTAGACATAGCGTATTAATATGGAATTGTCTACAAAGAGACCATTCCTCTTACTAGACGTAGCGATTTAATATGAAATTGTCTACAAAGAGACCATTTATCTTTCGTATGCACAATCATGGTTGTACTAGTATCGTTGAATAATTACAAAATTTCAAAAAATATTTATATATATAACTTTATAACTCACCTCAAGTCATCCAATTTGATATCGAATATTTGATAATTGTAAACTTTATTCACAAAAAATAAATAACCTTTTTGTAGATATTCCTATTTAATATTGAAATGCATATGTATAGATAACTTGACTATACCATGCTTGTCATGCCTCAAAGTATAATATTGGTTATAAGTATAGTAAACTATTTTAGTCACCATTTTAAAATTTAAATAATAAATGGTAATGTATTTTAAATTTTTTTTATTGTGAATGGTAAAGTATTCTAAAAATTAGATTGAGATATTGGAAGAGGCCAATATGTAAGTAATTTATCACTTCTTATGTATCTAAACCCTAATCCCAAAAAATCTTTTTTTTTTTTTAAATGAGTAATCATTATAATTTAAATAAAATATAATTTATCATTTTTTTTACTTGATCTAAACCCTAATCCCAAAAAAATCATTTTTTTTCCAAAGATTTAATAATCATTATAATTTAATTTAAATAAAATATAATTTATCACTTTTTTGTCTTGATCTAAACCCTATTCATAAAAAAAATCACTTTTTTTTCTAATCATTATAATTTACCGGCACGGGTCGTTTGGAAAGAGAGCATAAATAAGGGAGGCTCGAATAGGGTTAGACGGCTCGAACAAAGAAGAGAGGCTCGAACAAAGAAGGGAGGTTCGAAGAGGGATAAAGAAGACAGACAGAGTAAAGAGGATTGACTATATGGGAAGGGCTAGATGATGAAGAGATATAAAGGTTAAGGAAGCAAGGAAGAGGAGAGATGATAGATTCGAGAAAAATCATAAGGGGAAAGAAATATCATTATTTAGAAATGGCCTTGAATTTGGAGAGAATAGTTGAAGAAGCAAAGAAGAGGAGAGATGAACGATTTGAGTAAAATCATGGGAGAAGAGAAACTGTACCAATATTTAAGAATGGCATTGAATCTGAAAATTTGGAGCTTGAGAGAGAGAAATGTGGTAACCTTCCCAAGTTGAGAGGGAAAAGGGGATCTTGAGACGGTGGCCTTGAATTTGGAAAAGGGGAGCTTGAGAGAAAGGAAAATGGGGAAGACGGGATCTTGAGAGGGTGGCCTTGAATTTGGAAAAAGGGAGTTTGAGAGAGAGGAAAGTGGTAACCTTCTTAGGTTGAGAAGGCAAAGGGGAGCTTCGGAGGGAAAATAGGATATATGCAAAAGCGAGGAAAAACGGCTTTTTAGACACGCAATATATTATGTGTGATGATATTTGGGGAAAGATTACCTGTTACAATATTTGGAGAATTTGGAGAAATATTGTCTAATCTATTTTCATTTCCTTAGTAATAAAGGTACACAAACAGTGTAAATGTCATATTTCCTATTAATCTATTTCTCTATAATATATTTTCAATTACCTGTCACGATATTTGAGGAAATATTGTGTAATCTATTTTCATTTCCTCAGTAATAAGAAGCCGTTTGGATACCTGGAAATATAGTCTTTGAAATATATTACTGACGTAATCTATTACTGTGTAATACATTACCTGTAAATGGATTGTTACTATTTAGGTAGTATTTAAATGTAACCTGAGAAATCGTTGTTATTGTTTGGCTATGTCCGGAAGAAATATAAGAAATGCATTACCAACATTTTATCAGCACGTGCCTATAAACTATCATTTCCTTCCTTTTTGTCAAAAAATTCCACTAAAATGCAGAATTATCATTTCCTTCTTTTTTTGTAACAAAATTCCACTAAAATACTGAATTAAAATCATCACGCTATTCCATAAAGATTTCTACTAGTAACATTATCACCATTCCAAAAAGATTTCTACTAATAACATTATCACAATTCCAAAAAGGTTTTCTAATAAGAACTGGTACCATTTTATAGTCATGACGCTATTTTTTACTTATTTTAAGTGCCTTTGGCACTTATATGCAATCACATGTTTTCTAACATGACGTTGGTTTCAACATGATAAGTAATTGGAAAGATATGATTGGAATAACATGATTTTATTATGATAAGCCTAATTGTTATTTATTTTTTATAGAAGTCTTTTAAATGTATCTCTATATAATTTCAAATAAACAATAAATTTATGATACTAAATTCAAAATCGGTAGTGCACGAGTTAAAAATGGGAAGAAGTTTGATTAATAAACTAAAAGGTTTGGTAATTGCAGTATAAAATTTATAGGTATTGAAGGAGACTAAAGAGGTATGTTATTTCAATTGAGATTTTAGTAATCTTTTACGAGAATTATGTTGTATGAAATTTTTTATTATGATTGTGTTGTGTATTTATCATTGATTACTAATTTTTATTTTTATTTTTTATTTTTTTATATGACACTGATGCCTTCAGATGAGGGGACGAGCTTAAAAAGGGAGGGATCACATTATGTTGTGTGATATTTTTTTATTATGATTGTGTTGTGTAATTTATAATTGATTACTTATTTTTATTTTTATTATTTTTGTTTTTATATGGCAAATGATGCCTTTAGATAAGGGGACAAGCGGGATCACCTGGTTATTAGGAAGAGAGAGGGCTTAGAAGATTTTTTTAATCAGGATAGGGTAGGCAAAAACAAAATGCCAAAGATTTCTCAAAATTGCCCGTCACTCTATTTTTCACCTATCATCACGTAATGGATTTCCTAATTTTTTAGGAAATCTTCGTAATCTCCTGATTTTTTTGGGAAATCTTCGTAATCTCTTTCCATTTCTTTATGATTAAGTGTACCTAAATGTCATATTTCCTTGTAATGAATTGTCACGTAATAGATTTATAGGTACCAAATGGCCCATGTACCAAAACAATGTAAATGTGATATTCCTAGTAATCTATTTACTTGTAATATATATTTTAAGTACCCAAGGGCCCCCAAATGTGATTTTAGAAATTTATGAATAAAAATTAAATATTTAATTTATTTAAAAATTTGATATCTGGGATTGTATACAATGAGACAATTTACCTTTGATACAAAGTGCTCACAATTATTTACAGTCATTGGATGTGAAATTTGATAGTTTGTATGTGTCATAAAGTTCGAGAACATTTCTTTTGAAGTTTGAGATTAGTCAATGGAATAAATGCAACCTCCCAATTTGATATTCCATAATCAAGATTAATTGTGACCACCTTGTACCGAACGAAATAGTCTCATTCTATACTTTTCCTTGATATTTTAAGGCTACTTTGATTAATAGATGAAATGTTAAACATTGATATTTATTTGTGGTTTGATAAGTTTTTTTTTTTTGGAAAATTGTTTCATGGGTGCTGGACCGCATGGAAAGTAGATGTTCCATCTAAAATCAATGGAAACTAACGGTCCAAATGTTTTCTTACTAGAACTATTATTTTTAATTTTCAAATTTTATTTATTTTTTCATATTCATGATCTCCATGTTAGATATTACATGTACTTAAAAATTAAGTCCAAAAATCCATCACAAAAATAGATTCTACATATGCGGGCTTGGCGGCATAACCGCGTCCAAAAAAACTTAGGGTACAAGCCTGAGGGATCAAGTATACAATTTACTCCCGCAGGAGCATATAATCTTTTCTATAGTTTAAGGGCCACCAAACCAGTAATAAAATAAAATCCACTGATCCACTTACTCGTGAGAGAGGATGTTAGTGAATGATTGAAGTAACCGCGAGATTGTTGTTTCATCTTAGAGAGAGAAAGAGAGATCATCTTTAGAGAGAGAGGGAGAGAGAGATGGCCGGTGCAAAACTACAAGCCCTCTGGAACCACCCTGCAGGCCCCAAAACCAGTGAGTAAAAATTCGTATTCTCTTTCCTTCGATGGATACATGCTTTCCGGTGTTTTCCCTTTGAAATAGATGATCTGAATGCTCAAAATGGCTCCTCTCCGTCATTCTATTGTTTCATGGATGATAGAAAGAGCCTTCTTGTATGTTGCAATCGGAGCAATGAAGTCCTTTATCTGATATATCTTGTTGCTTTTTTGTGGTGGAATCTTGGGAAATGATGGTGAAATTCACAGTAATTGTGTACATCTTTTTGTAAATCTTTAGACAGATTTGGTTCATCGGGAGCACTTCGCTGTCTGATTTTTTAACCTGGACATGTGTTTGAATATTTGCATTTGTGGCCGAATCAGCAGATGTCTTTTGCATTTCTAAGTTTAAAGAAAAGAAGAGGCCTTTGATTGAATAGATTAATGAGTAGCTTTTGAATTGGGGGGTTTTTCTTTGGTAAAATTTTCAAAAATCTGATTTAGTTGGATATCATGACCGTAAGTAATTTTATTTGTTATTTTTGAGTGAGTTTGGTCGCGTGTCATATGAGTGCGTTGAATGATTTGAAACTTTAAATTTTTCCCTCGTGCAACCTGCAAGCAAACTGATCGTTCATCCGTTGTTTTTTTGTTGCTAAATTATTCTATAGACTTAATAGATTACAATGACTTGCAAATTGGCTACCTTTTCTGAACGTCATTGGAGTATCAGCCATATTTATATGGAGTTTAGGTCCATTGTATTTAGCAGTTATGCCTGTAGTTAGTTGATATATAATGATCCAGTTCATAATAAATGTATGTGGGTCACATCTATAATAAAAATTAATGGCTAGTTGTGGGAGTTATGGTTGTTTTCATGAGGAAAAGTATCAATGGATGCTTATTTACAGTATGCCTTGACTCCCAAGGTCACTCGTACTTGGGCGAGTAACTCGGTCTCGTGTGAGGCCGAGTTTCCCCAAATTGGGTGTGCAATTCGGGGATGTAAAACAAATTCTAAAAAGTTCAAAAAAATTTGGATTGTTTGATAATTTTTTTGTACATGATTTGGATGTATTTGGTAAAGATTGGTGAGTGTTTTTTTTACTATAATCACTATTTTTATATTTTCCTTTTTTTTGGAATTTTTTTATAATGTCCCAAACCGTGAATTGGTTGTTGTAAAATCCATTTTTTTCTCTAATTTTTTTTTTTTTAAACTTTTTAAAGTTGTTTTAGTTTTTAATTTACTTTTACTACAAGTTTTTTATTTTTTTCAATTTTTTTTATTTAATTTTTAGGGCCAATAGGCCCTATGCTGGACTCAGCGGAATCCTGAGGACTCAGCTGAGTAACTTGCCTCGGCGAGGGGGCGAGTCCCAGCACTCTGCTTATTTCTAATCTTTGGGCTTTTCATTTCATGGGGCTTGCAGTTTAGGACCCCTAATATGGTAAAACTTACAAGGTTGCTAGTTATAGTGAAGAGCACGAGTTCTGGCACACTGCTTATTTCTAATCACTTGGGTTCTCATTTCATGGGGCTTGCTGTTTAGGACGCCTAATGCAGTAAAATTTACAAGGATGCTAGTTATAGTGAAGAGCATGACACAATTCAAGCGTATTTACCAGTGCTACTCTAGTTAGATTAGCTGATGTGCTAAATAGGGCACTTGGATGGGCGAAATTATATTTGTACACCTATTGTGAGCTTACCTGTTGATGTAGGACCCATGGGGCTTGGCTTTTAATTGAGTGTGACATGTTAGATCAGCTTAAAATATATCTGGGACAGCAGGGTATTTGGCAGAGGCACCTGCCTCACCAATGACCAACACCTTACCAGTCCTGATTAGTCTAACATTAAGTTACCTCTAGTACTCCCTATCACTGAGAACTACAATCACCTAGATGTTTGCTCCTAGACCAGAGGTCTCGTCACTCATTTCAATTAAGGAAAATGGAAAGACTAAAAATGCAAACCTCCAATCCTGAGCACATTGAAGAAATAGAATTGTATGGTAGTTTGTATGGATGTACGTTTCTGTGTCTGTATGTAGAGCTACACATGTACAGATGTATGTATTTATATTGCATGCACATATGCATGTAACAAATCACATTTATGTCTTGATATGTGATAATGTAAGCTGTAGCTTTGCCGCACACACTCTAGGCTTCAAGTGTCCAAGCATTTTCTTCTAGTCATGTTATCTTCCCATTTCCTCACAACAATGCAGTTCATTTCTGGGCTCCAACTTTTAAATGGGGCATCAGCTTGGCCAACGTTGCGGACTTTTCAAAGCCACCTGAGAAAATATCCTATCCTCAACAAATAGGTTTGTACTTGATATTTATAAATTTGTAATCTTTGTTTTCTAGATGCTATTGTGGCGGGGTTACATTTGGATAAGTAAATATTTACTCGTGCAGCGGTTGCATGCACGGGGGTTATCTGGTCAAGATACAGCACAATTATTATCCCGGTACATCTTCTTCTTTTCTTATTGTATGTTTTCAAGATATTGGCTTGTAGGTTTCTCCAACTTTCATGCGCAATCTGGCAATTTTTTGTATCTTCTACAAAATCCTACTTAAAATGGTGAACCATCTGTAATTGAATCATTCTTGCAAATCCTTGTATATTTACTGGATGTTGTGAATGATGTGTTTTGTACATCTTGCCATCTCTTGCGATTCTATAATTAGCAGGTTAAATTGCATGGGTAAAGTTCAAACAATTTTGCATCTTTACTATTTCCTTGTAGAGGTTGCATCCTCTTGGAGATATCAGATCTATGATGTTAAAACTACGAATGTTATTTTTTGTTCTACTTTGGTAGCGAAGTAATTAGTCTCATGGTTGTAACTTGGAAATGGTGATGAATATGGGGACATCTGCAACTATAGCTTTTGTTTGAGAACCTTTGTAGTATTTGTAATTTTAATTTTTTGTAGGCGATTATTGATTCTCGAAACAAGTCTTTAGCTGTCAGCACATAGTCATATATGGTGAAATTTTCATCAATTTTTAAAATGAAATTAAGTATGATAAATTGTTTACAAGAAAAATTTGACGCTTAGGCCCTTTCTACAATGTCTAAGAATTTACAATCCAAATAGATTTTACACAAATACTCCAGTATAATGGTTTTGTAGTTTGGCAGTGGGATACCTGGGTATAGTCATTAATGATTTTGGATGAAAGAAAGTGGGTATACATCTGTTCTGAACATATACACTGTTCACATGATTAAATGAATGGATAAGGCTAAAACATCAAGTAGAAGTGGCCAAGTGATAGCAAGTTAGCAACTTTTTGTTAGTCATGGGTTCAAATAACATAAGAAGCATGGTTCCAAAGCAGGAATGCTACCCCTAAAAAGAGTTGGTGGAGCCATGTTGCTTTGCCTCTATGCTTTTCCTCGCTCTGCTTTCTTCTTTTCCTTAAATCATCAAAATGTTTAAACTAGTGTTTAAAAACACGCCGAGTCGAACCGGACTCGCCCGGTTCGACTCGGGAATCGCCATGGACGGATCAAATCGGCGAAATAAACGGGAATCGTCCGGTTCTAGAGAGAACCGGACGATTCTGCACAGTGACTCGCCGATTCACTGTACGGAATCGGTGAGTCCGTACAGTGAATCAGCGAGTCCTGTACAGTATTTTTTTTTTTTTTTTTTTTGTTTTTGTTTTTTGTTTTTTTTGTTTTTTGTTTTTTTTTTTTGTTTTTTTGTTTTTTTTTTTGTTTTTTTTGTTTTTTTTTTTTGTTAATCCATGATAGTATTTTTTGTAATACTTGATCTATTTTTTGTAATCCATGATCG